GCGGTGGAGACGGTGGGAACGGTGAAAGCGGTGGAGGGGGATGAAGGTGGTGGGGGTGGTGAGGGCGGTGAGGCGGTGTGGGCGGTGGGGGCGGTGTGGGCGGTGGGGGCGCGGGGGGGTCCGGGCACACATTGGCAGTCTTTAAATACTCTTTACTCTTTAAACACCTACAAATACAGCGGGCGGTGAGAGCGGTGGAGACGGTGGGAACGGTGAAAGCGGTGGAGGGGGATGAAGGTGGTGGGGGTGGTGAGGGCGGTGAGGGCGGTGTGGGCGGTGGGGGCGGTGCTGGGCGGTGTGGGCGGTGGGGGCGCGGGGGGGTCCGGGCACACATTGGCAGCCTTTAAATACTCTTTACTCTTTAAACACCTACAAATACAGCAAATACAGCGGGCGGTGAGAGCGGTGGAGACGGTGGGAACGGTGAAAGCGGTGGAGTGGTGGGGGTGGTGAGGGCGGTGGGGGCGGTGTAGGCGGTGTGGCGGTGGGGGCGCGGGGGGGTCCGGGCACACATTGGCAGCCTCTAAATACTCTTTACTCTTTAAACACCTACAAATACAGCGGGCGGTGAGAGCGGTGGAGACGGTGGGAACGGTGAAAGCGGTGGAGGGGGATGAAGGTGGTGGGGGCGGTGAGGGCGGTGAGGGCGGTGGGGGCGGTGTGGGCGGTGGGGGCGCGGGGGGGTCCGGGCACACATTGGCAGCCTTTCAAATACTTTGTGGGAACGGTGAAAGCGGTGGAGAGGGATGAAGGTGGTGGGGGTGGTGAGGGCGGTGAGAGGGCGCTGGGGGCGGTGTGGGCGGTGGGGGCGCGGGGGGGTTCGGGCACACATTGGCAGCCTTTAAATACTCTTTATTCTTTAAACACCTACAAGTACGGTGAGCGGTGAGGGCGGTGAGACACATTGGCAGCCTTTAAATACTCTTTACTCTTTAAACACCTACAAATACAGCGGGCGGTGAGAGCGGTGGAGACGGTGGGAACGGTGAAAGCGGTGGAGGGGGATGAAGGTGGTGAGGGCGGTGAGGGCGGTGGGGCGGTGGGGGCGGTGTGGGCGCGGGGGGGTCCGGGCACACATTGGCAGCCTTTAAATACTCTTCTCTTTAAACACCTACAAATACAGCGGGCGGTGAGAGCGGTGGAGACGGTGGGAGCGTGAAAGCGGTGGAGGGGGATGAAGGTGGCGGGGGTGGTGAGGGCGGTGCCTTTAAATACTTTTTAACACCTACAAACACAGCGGTTATAACTCCCCTGACAGAACACTGGGGGTGGTGGCAGTGGTGGAGGTGGTGGGGGTGGTGAGGGCGGTGAGAGCTGTGAGGGCGGCGGAAGCGGTGGGGGCAATGAGAGCGGTCCGGGCACAGTGGAGGAATATTCAAAAAAAAAACACCTACAAATACAGCGGTGAAATCTCTTTCAACAGAGCGGTGGTGGAGGTGGTGAGGGCGGTGGGGGGCAGTGGGGGTGGTGCTACAAAGGCAGGTGAGGGCAGTGAGGGCGGTGGGGGTGGTGAGGGCGGTGGGGGCGGTGGGGGTGGTGCTACAAAGGCAGGTGAGGCCAGTGAGGGCGGTGGGGGTGGTGAGGGCGGCGGTGGCGGTATAGGGGCGGTGTGGGCGCGGAGGGGTCCGGGCACACATTGGTTTAAATACTTTTATATACTCTTTAAACACCTACAAATACAGCGGTGAAGGAATCTTTAAACAGAGCGGTGGTGGAGGTTGTGAGGACGGTGGGGGCAGTGGGGGCGCGGAGAGGTCCGGGCACACATTGGCAGCCTTTACATACTCTTTAAACACCTACAAATACAGCGGTGAAAGACTCTTTGAACACAGCGGTGGAGGCGGTGGAATCGGTGTGGGTGCGGACACCTCTCGGGATATCACGGGCGCCGCCCGCAGGGGTCGGCGGATAACATTATGGCGTAGTTATAAACTCACCCTGCTGAGACTACGCAAGGCGGCGCCCAAAGCAGCGCGCCGCCTTTTGGAGGTGCCTTCTGCCGCAGTGAGGGAGAGCTCAGAGCTCGTCGGCTTGTGCAGAAGAGTCTATATGAGGGTAATTGAGGGGCCTAAATAATTACCGATACTTTTGGGGGGCTCCTTATTGTTATTATAGGATAACGGGCCCCAACAAAGCCTATTCTAGTTATTCAGGCCCCTGTAGCTTTTCGGCGTGCGTTGTGAGCATCTCATCTGCCAGGCCTGGAGTTGAGAGTTCCCTCCTTGTTTGCGGTGGTCACGTCACGGGTTCAGGCTTCATACTCTTCGGGTGTGCATGTTTGTTGGGTGTGGAGATTGGGGAAGATACAGTCAAGACTTGGGTCGTGGGCATGTCGAGAAGCATAGCTTACCCAAACATCCAATTTCGAGGACTGCGCGGCTGGAAGGCTCAGCGACCGCCGCCTAACGTAGCTCGCTTGCAACCGGCGACGGCAAGTCAGTGTCTGAACGAGCACAGGAGTCCACCCATTCGGCTCCGCCTCCCCTGGTGACCATGGGTAGCCTATAGGTTGATTCAACGTCGCGTGGGCTGCGCACTCAGGCAGATAACTCCAACCTCTGCGCTGTTGGACGGAGCTGAGCTGGGTCGGGTATGCAGCAAAGAGAGCCGGAAGCTCTCTGAATCGACTTGACTCATGACAGCCAGATCCCGCCCTGCCAGGTGAACCAGAAACGGAGACGGGGAAAGGACTGCCACACACAGATCCCGGAATGCTGTCGGTCTCGCGGAACGTGGACTTTGCGGGCTATATTCTGACGCTTGCCCCTGCTCCTCGTTTGGACCGCGACCATGCAGCCGTGGGGCGCCTCATCACGAGCCCTGCATTCCTAGACCATATCGTGTCGGCACGGGACTCCACTTGCAAGGAAGTTCGCGTAGTGAACTGCGGCGAGGTTTTAAGAGACCTGCCAGTTTCCGCGGGGACAGGCACCCAGAGGGGAAGCCGGCGTTCGGCATCACGCAGTCGAAGCCCGCATGGCTGAAAAAGATTCCCACATTTCTATTCTACATCTGACTTGCTCATGCCTCCGGCTTCTTCTCTCTTCTGAAGATACCGCAAATGCAGAGATGGAGTGAGGAGCAAGGAACATAGAGATGCAGGCAGTCACCGTGTCTGCACGGCTCGCCCCACTCTTCGGGCAGCAAGGGCCTGCACAGCTGTGCCGGGCCCTCGGAGGGGATCCGGCAGGCTGCGGCATTGAGTTCCTTTTCCCGTGCATTCAGAGCACATACAGCATATAGACAACCGGGCCCAGGTTGCTCCTGGTTCCCCAGCGGCTTGGCGTCTATGAGCGTGGTCATGTCTACTGCTAAGAGACTGCATGCCGAGGCGTTGGCGGTGAGTGCCTGTGCTTGATGGCCATCCGTTTCGGTGGTCGGCACAGGATCAGTTCTTTCGGTTTCTGGCGCAAGATGAAGGAGTTTCAGGAGGCGAGTAAGAGCACAGGTGACGCGTGCAGCCGCCTTGGTGAACTACCAGACAGCGGAGATCCAGAGGTGGACACATCTTGGCATAGCCCTCTGGAAGATTCGTGGCAATGGGTCCCAGCGATAGACGGGGACGGGCGGAGCGTCGTAGCACTGTCATTCTGCCTCTCCCCTGGGCCCTCCTCTTCAGCTCAGATGGTATGTCGTCAGGACCAAGAACCTGACGTGCATGAGCCGGAGTCCAAAGAAGCTGCAGTGAAAATGCGAATGATGGCAAGAGTACAATAGTGATTCATAATGATTGGCAGCCCAAAATTCATAATGATTGGTAGCAGTGAACTAGATGTGGAGTCATGTGAGTCATTCCATGACTGGCCGAACCCGCTGTTGCGGCCTCTCAGGCTCACTGTGGGCACGCGGCGTCCTCAGAATCCATTTGTCCAAGGAATTACGGCAGTCTGGGAGAGCAAGCAGGTCTAAGAGTGCAAGTGAGCACACCAGGGCCTATCCCTTCGCCGTGCATCGGACGAGTGCTGGACTCGAGGACTACTACGTTCCTGCCACATTCCTGCTTAATCCTAGCAGGTCAAGTGATGGTAAGTCGACGGGTTAAGATGTTATACCGAGAATGCCGGCGTCGCGAAGCTTAGTGAGGCATGCAGATCAATGCCTGAGGATATTCTTGGAGAGGCGCTTCTAGGAGAAGGTGGGTGCGCATCCGTCCTTCCACGGCCCGCACAGCTTTAGCCGCGAATTGCCTGGAGGCTTTGCTTTGCGCTTATCCGAGAAGTCGGAGCAGCAAGGGCTGCAGCAATGGTTCGAGCCGGGAACCTCAGCCACAGAGCCAACAGGTGCTGTGCTGCTGAGAAGAGGATCCTTTGGCCCTATATGTACCTCGTTAAATGGAAGACTGAACCCAGATGCTTCCGGACGTATGTCGGAGAGTGAAGTGCGATATACGCCGGAGATACATAATGCTGTGTGTGGGTCGTGTGTCCCCCTGGCAATAGACGTATGTGCATCGGGGGCTATTCTTAAACAGCAGGGCCGATAGGTAGTAATGAAGGGATGTCCGTGAAACATTAGCCGTAGTGACGTCTTGAATGGCAACGATCCCCCCTACAAGGAAGGCACCGGACCCAGTCCTCTTAGAGCTTTCTCCAGTTGGCCTCGGCAGTTGTTCAAAGTTTGAAGCTTCCGGATTTGGCGCATTCTGAGCTCGGGTTTTATGCAGGTTTACGTGGGTCTCAGGGGGGTTGACAGCTGAGATGTCGTGTTTTTGCTGGCGGCCAGGTGCTTGGGGCGTTTAGGTCCATGTCTAGCTGTAGCATGATTGACTTGCACCTGAATCTCCCTCGACTTAAACATGCGGTCTTGACCACGCAGCTCTTGGCCCAGATCTCAAGGGAAGAACCAATTCGGACTCCGCTCGCCATGTCCCGTGCAGCCGTGTGCTTGGGCTGCAGTTGCCCTAGCACCCGTGAGATCCTGTGACCTCCAAGTGTGAACTTCAAATCTTGCGCAGGTGCTTTGGGCTTCTGACCGTCTGCGACGCAGTGCTCTTCGCTAAGATGGAGAAATATGAGGCAGACAACTGCAGCGGTCCTATGTACGATTTTGACCTGGATGCCAGCGGTGAATGCCTTTTCCAGAACAACGAGAGATACACCTGCAACGCCACGGGGATTCTCTATGAAAAGTTCAACGGATCCAACTCCGACTGCAGCTCTGCCTTTGACTGGGGAGATTTTTTCCCCTTCAACACCTGTGTTAGGGGTTACAACTACACGGAATGCGTTGACCTACCGGCGGTCACCCTGGAGATGTTCGCAGATGCGGCCTGCACCACCAAGATGGCGGATAACATCGTGCCCCTTGTGGATTGTCGCACCCCTGACGACCGCGCTTCGTCAAAGACGCTTGGGCTTGGAAGGATCTCGTGATACATGGCTGACTGCATTGCGTTGTCACATAATACGCCGTACATACCTTTCAGCTTGTGCATAGACGGGGCGCGTGTCATCACTACTTGCGCATGTTGCAAAGGAGCCGTCACAGAGTTTGCACATGTCACAGCTTCATGAGCTAACTCGGCCCAAGGACTGAGCTCGTGGATGGAAGTTTCATGTACTCCGCGTACAGCTCAAGCTGCTGGGCCCGCACTAGTTTCGTACTTAGTATGCTATGCTATATATAGACCATAGTAGCATACTAAAGTATGCTCTAGTATACTATGGTATACTGTAGTATATCATAGCATACTATAGTGCACTCTGACTCTAGTATTTTCTAGTTTCATGGGTCCCGGGGGCGAAGCACGTTCAAAGCACCTTGAAGCGCCGAGTGGCCCAATAGAGCCAGAGGTTTCCAGCACGAAGTAGTGATATACTATAGTATACCATAAAAAATATGAGAATATGCTATAACATGCTATAATACACTTTTTACCCTCTACAGCCTGTACCTCTCAGAAAGTATCGCAACTTCATGCTGCGATTGAGGGGTGCCGGATGCTCGTTCGTCAGAACACATCACGACAGTTGGTGATTGGCAGGGGGAAGAGCCAACCAAGGTGATTGTATGGGCAACACTGTCGGGAACATCACTGTGCCATGCGGGGGCAATTGTACCAGTGGCATGGGCCAATACGCCAAGAACAATAACGCATGTCCGTCGTCTACCGAGGCGGAACTTCCCGGCAAGTATAAAGACGGGCACGAGTGATTCAAATAGGAGGAACAGTACACAACTCCCTCTGCATGATAAGGATTCACCAGCAGTCGCTGCACGGATGGTCAAGCTGGGTCCCTCCAATTGTTGTAGCACCATCAAATGGTATGAATCTATCGGTGCAAGGGCTTCATCGGCTTGCCCATGTCCTTGGACAGAGCTCGGTGTGTGTTTTCTTACATGGCTTGCTGGAAGCATAGCGCCTCATTCCTTGCTGTCGGTTGCTTGAAGTAGCAGTGGCAGCATAGAGCGACCCTGGCAGTCGACGACCGCATCGACCACAACAACCACGATGGATGCGAATGTGGCCGGAGCCTCATTTTCCTTCTGCTTGTTGAGTCAACTCAGCAGTGGCAGCACTGCCGCGACGCTGCCAGTCGACGACCTCGGCGACCTCGGCCACGAGCATTCTCGGCGTGTTCTGTGCCACCGCTGGCATCCTAATTCGCTTGCTTTGACGGAAAGCTGGCCATCATCTTGTGGGCCCGTGAAGCCAAAGGGCTGGACGGGACCCTTGCCGGACTTTCCTACCTGGGGCTTCGGACTCATAAGGAGCTTGTTCACAAAGGAAGCCCCTATACAAACCCTTTATAATCCCCTATAAACTGTATAAATGTATGAACGCCATATAAACCTTATTGCACTCCTTCTTAAATGCTATATGAACCCTACATATAACTCTCTCTCCCTCTCTCTCTCTCTCTCTCTCTATAAAAATAAATATATATATATATATATATGTTTGTATACATACATACCCCCTCAATCCCCCTCACATAACCCTGGAAAAGACACCACATAACCCTCTATAAGCCCACCTGGGATCCTTTCAGAGACATCTTCGCTCAGACTACAATGGGTGCTCGACGTGGAAAAGGTATTGGGTATTATCGGGTCTGATAGCTTTCCCATAGGCATCGGACCATTATTTATTTCACGCAACGAACCACGTCGGCATTCCGCCTGTGATCCTTCTGAAATGCCACTTGTATGAGTCTTGCCGTATGTCTTTGCTGTCCGAAATGCACGGGCAGCATCAATGAATGAGAGTGCGCGAGCCTCGAAAAAACAGCCGGTCGCCGCCGCGATCTTCGAACCTGTGCAACCCTACCGCATGAGCCTTGTCCTCACTGCGATCACGAGAGAGGAACAGGAACAGACCATGCCCTGAAGCTCAGCGCAGCCAGTGGGCAGCGTACATCTCGTCAGGTCGAACTCGGCCGCCTCGCCAAGCCGCGGCCAACGCGTCTTTGGGCCTGTCGAGAGCTCGGATCGCGGGGTGCGGCGATAGAGAGTCAGAGGAGCTTCAGGAAGACATTGCTGAAGGTCCGACTGCGGACGCGTGCAACCTCCTGGGATGTCTGGGGCCGATGAATGCTCTTGAGTTTGAGTTCATTGATTGCATGATGCTGTATGCATGCATGTGTGGATGTACGTATGCGCTCGCACGGATGTGCATGTGTGTGTGTGTGTGTAAGTCTGTTCGCGTGTGTCTGTGCGCATTTGTCTCTGCGCGTGTGTCTGCGGGTGTGTGTGCGGGTGTGTGTGCGGGTGTGTGTGTCTGTGTGTCTCTGTGTGTCTCTGTGTCTCTGTGTCATTCTGTGTCATTCTGTGTCTCTCTGTGTCTCTCTGTGTCTCTCTGTGTCTCTCTGTGTCTCTCTGTGTCTCTCTGTGTCTCTCTGTGTCTCTCTGTGTCTCTCTGTGTCTCTCTGTGTCTCTCTGTGTCTCTCTGTGTCTCTCTGTGTCTCTCTGTGTCTCTCTGTGTCTCTCTGTGTCTCTCTGTGTCTCTCTGTGTCTCTCTGTGTGTCTCTCTGTGTCTCTCTGTGTCTCTCTGTGTCTCTCTGTGTCTCTCTGTGTCTCTCTGTGTCTCTCTGTGTCTCTCTGTGTCTCTCTGTGTCTCTCTGTGTCTCTGTGTGTCTCTCTGTGTGTCTCTGTGTGTCTCTGTGTGTCTCTGTGTGTCTCTGTGTGTCTCTGTGTGTCTGTGTGTGTCCTGTGTGTGTCCTGTGTGTGTCCTGTGTGTGTCCTGTGTGTGTCCTGTGTGTGTCCTGTGTGTGTCTCTGTGTGTGTCTCTGTGTGTGTCTCTGTGTGTGTCTCTGTGTGTGTCTCTGTGTCTCTGTGTGTCTGTGTGTCTGTGTCTCTGTCTCTGTCTCTGTGTGTCTCTGTGTGTCTCTGTGTCTCTGTGTCTGTGTCTGTGTTTGTGTGTGTGTGTGTTTCTGTGTCTGTGTCTGTGTCTGTCTGTGTGTGTCTGTGTCTGTCTGTGTGTGTGTCTGTGTGAGTGTGTGTCTGTGTGTGTGAGTGTGTGTCTGCGTGTGTGTGTGTGTGTCTGTGTCTGTGTCTGTGTCTGTGTGAGTGTGCGTCTGTGTGTGTGAGTGTGTGTCTGTGTCTGTGTCTGTGTGTGTGTGTGTCTGCGTGTGTGCGTGTGTGTGTGTGTGTGTGTGTGTGTCTGCGTGTGTGTGTCTGCGTGTGTGTGTGTGTGTGTCTCTGTGTGTGTGTGTGTGTCTGCGTGTGTGTCTGCGTGTGTGTGTGTGTGTGTGTGTGTGTGTGTGTGTGTGTGTGTGTGTGTGTGTGTGTGTGTGTGTGTGTGTGTGTGTGTGTGTGTGTGTGTGTGTGTGTGTGTGTGTGTCTGCGTGTGTGTGTCTGCGTGTGTGTGTGTGTGTGTCTGCGTGTGTGTCTGCGTGTGTGTCTGTGTGTGTGTGTGTGTGTGTGTGTGTGTGTGTGGCGCGTGTGTGTGGCGCGTGTTGTGCGTGTGTGTGCGTGTGTGTGTCTGTGTGTCTGTGTGTCTGTGTGTCTGTGTGTCTGTGTGTCTGTGTGTCTGTGTGTCTGTGTGTCTGTGTGTCTGTGTGTCTGTGTGTCTGTGTGTCTGTGTGTCTGTGTGTCTCTGTGTCTGTGTGTCTGTGTGTCTGTGTGTCTGTGTGTCTGTGTGTCTGTGTGTCTGTGTGTCTGTGTGTCTGTGTGTTGTGTGTCTGTGTGTCTGTGTGTCTGTGTGTCTGTGTGTCTGTGTGTCTGTGTGTCTGTGTGTCTGTGTGTCTGTGTGTCTGTGTGTCTGTGTGTCTGTGTGTCTGTGTGTCTGTGTGTCTGTGTGTCTGTGTCTGTGTCTGTGTCTGTGTCTGTGTCTGTCTGCGTGTGTGTGTGTGTGTGTGTGTGTGTGTGTGTGTCTGTGTGTGTGCGGGTGTGTGTGTGTGTGTGGGAAACCCAAACTACAACGGGACAGTGACATTCTGAGGTTAGAGCTCACATTGTGCAGGGGGCATGGCGCTCTTACTCCTAGCCATGCTAACAAAGCTATGGAGTTCGAGTGGATGGAGTCACTGACGAGTGACTCTGTACCTGCAGGGTTGCACCTGGATCCATGATTGGATAGCTGGTGGACCCAACAACGTCGGTTTTGCACAGTTGCCGCAATCTGATCGTACAGGTGAAGGTTCCAGGTGCTCCTTGGCTTCAACAACGATAAGAGCCTCTTGAAGCCCCACGGCAACATTTTCATCTTGAAGGTTCTCAGCGAGTTCTGAAGATTGAACTCTATGCTGAGTGAAATTGACCACGAATGAACATTCTACCAGGGAAGCCTGGGTGTTCGAGTGTGAAATGGGCATGGCTTTTGCTCTCGAGGCAGTATCCCTTGAAATAGTGCCCCGAGTGGGACGAGTGATTCTTGGCTAGGTTCATAACAGGCCTCAACCACAAACAGAGCGGAAAGCATATATTTTGAGACCGGAAAGTACCTGCTCATCTCGATGACCAGCATACTCACGCTTGAAGTTCACTCCGTTCTGAAATGCGCTTGAAGTCGACACTCATGCTGTAACTAAGAGTAATGTAAAGCTGCTAATGCAAGATTCTGGGCTTTCATCATCCTTTTCTTTTGCTTTAAGCATTCTTTTGTTTTAAGTGTCTTTTGGTCTTGAGTTGCACGTAGCAGCTGCGTCCCTCTGCCATGGAGATCAATATTCAAATCAAGAATGCGCAGCCCGAAGACCTGCTGCAGGCGTTTGCAGCATTGAGCGGTGGATCAGCATCCTCGGCACCATCGGCGGCACCCCCTACTACTGGGCAAGGGAGACCGCCCTTGAAAAGAATCCGCAAAGAAGCTCGAGCCACGACCGCGGCAACAAGGAGATCCCCGAGCCTTTATTCAGTCAAGAAGAGCTCCGGGCGCTCCAGGCAGCCAACCCGCAGGGAGTGGTGCAATCTTCTACGGATGTTGCGGAGGACACCGAGACCGGGCAGAGCGCAGCTGGATCCGGCGCCAAGGCCAAGCGGAAGGCTCAACCGTTTTCTGCATTCCGCAAGCACGAGGGACGCACCATGTCCCCTCGACCCTACTTCCAAAGGAGTGATCAGCTTGGAGCAGGAGAAGCCCCGCCTACACCCAGACCTACCTCAGGACTACCAGCACTGCCAATGACATCGCATAACGCATCCTAAGCGGTATTCTGCCCCAGCATCGCTTTTGTCCACGCCGTTATGCCCAACCTCTCGCCTTTGCGATGGGTCATTACTGTGGACCTCTATCTCGATCGAGGCGACGAACAGGCGGCACTGGAGGTATTGATGTATCGGGATGTCCCTCCGCTTGAGGATGAAATATGGGATGATACACTGCGATGCATACTCGAGGAACATTTTGTGCTGCTCGCCGCCCTCGTTCGTCGTGGTCGCCTCTCGGCGCATCGCTTCCTGCCGAGTCGTGATGATATTGCGTATCGAGCGCCAATGGTGGCGTATGTGATTGATCTTCCATCAAGCTGTCTGGCGGCGTTGCTTGCCCTCAGGGCCAGTGCTAATACGCCCGACATGCGGGGGCATACGCCCCTAGCATTTTCAGTGCTTGCTAATGCACACTCGTGCACCGCCCTTCTCTTGCAGGCGAGAGCGGCGCTGTACCCCTGCCGTCGGAACTATACGCGTTATGAGGCATCTGAAGCAGCTGCCTCATGTCCGGTGTCCGATCCGGTGAAACCTGGGAGTCGCCACAGAGAGACCTCAAGGCCTGCAGCACGTCTGGGTTGCTGCCAGGCTGAGAACCATCAAGACACCCTCTAGCTTCGACCCTGAGCTCTTCGAGAATTTGTAACGCTCGACTCCCTGTGAGAGGGACGGCCGAGTGGTCCCGGTAGGTGCCATCGAGGGCTTCGTCCAGAGTCTCTCCTGACACCATTCTCTGAACCACTCCCGGAAGAAGTTGGGAGGCACTTGGCAAGAGGATCGAGGGTGGAGCAGGCGCGCTCTCGCTTTCCTGAGGAATCTGCCCTTCACCCAGCATACTAACTCGCGCTTTTACGTGCCTTTGCTGCTCCACGCAGCTGGCATGGTTTCGCCTGAGACGCGGGTCGCATGGACCGCCGAGGCTTCCATTGGAGCCTGGTGGCGACGCCAGGTCGAGGCAGCGTCAGCTCGCCCATTTCTTCCTGTGCACGACACAATCGCCGCCATCGCACTCGTCGCACAAGCCCGC